GCACCTCAAGTGACCGATCTACAAGTTACGCACCTCACCTGACGATCGGCATCTGAGGTGCGTCATCTTCAATCTGACGCGGGAAAGGATCTGAGGCACAACATATACACCCTACTCTTTAACTAGAGAAAAAACACTAAAAATGATATCTCAAAATATACTAAATAAATGAGTTAGATGTTCTAAATAAAAATAGTTAGAATCTCTAAAAACTTCATAAAAATCTCTTTATTTAATTTATATTATTTTATTATAAAAAAAAAATCCTCTTTAATCTCTTACTCTAACTCTAAAAATAATTAGAGAAGGTTTTTCCTTAAATTATTATTAAAATATTAATCTTTTTATACTTCTAGTTGATTGGTATTAAAAAAAATAAATTTAAAATATTTGATAAAAAAAATATAATATATTTAATAATATTGGCTATTGCTATAAAAAAAAATTAGTATTAAAAAAGTATTTGAATTTTATTAGAAGGCTATTAAAATAAATCATTTTGAAGAAATTTTAAATTATACTAGATGTTTTTTTAAAAAAAAATTAAATAGTAATTATCCACCACTTTTTAATTAATGGAGGTGCTTATTCACTAGTTATTTAAAAACAGACGATTGATCAATTTTGTGATCACCGGATAACGCAATTTAAAGTTTATAATTTATGGAACATAAATTTTTATTATAAGCTTATTTTCCGAGTTTTACGGTAATAAAAAATTAACAAATATTATATGTGCATTTAGAGAAAATATTGCATTTAGAGAGGTTAAAATTTATAATTGCTATATTATTTGAAACCAAGAGGAATGTGCACTTAGAGAAGTTTTTCATATACCGTAAGGTGTAGCTGTAAATATGTGTTTTAGATGTTCTACATTACAGACAGAAAATTTAGGTACTTTTTGAATATAGAACATCAAAAACGTAACTTTTGTACACCATACGTAAAAATTGAGCCAGGAGAGAAGCGACAAACAATTATTTTATTTGCTAATTTACTTTATAATACACTAGATATTATTTATAAAATTCGGGTTAATTAATATTCTTAGTAATGAATCTCTAAATTACGTAATAAAAAAATATACATATCGGAGAAATCAATGTAAAAATGACCTTGAATTATTTTTGATATATGGATCCATTTTGGATTATTTACCGTCAAAATTTTTGTCTCAATGAGACGATTCTAATGATATATAATCAAAATCCAATCTCTGGATCGAGATCATGAAAGATCGGGGTTTTTTCAGTTTTTTATATATAAAACCTTTTAGAAGAAAAAACACTAATCTTTCACGATCTCGGAATCCAGTGACTGGGTTTTGATGATTTTAGGCTTATCAATGAGACGACCAAAATCAGATCTATATATCATTTTAATCGATATGAAATTTTATAATAAATATTTTTTTCAAAATCGTTAACTATATTATCGTTATATAAATTATACAGCGCTAGTCGGTATTATTTATACAATTTAATTCAAGCTTTACAGTATTTATAAATAAGTTTATAATTCTTCTCCAATTACATTACAATTTTTTTTCAAACTTGAAAAAGCTCCAAAAAAAAAACAAATATATATATATATATACAAAAAAATATATTTTTTGAAAAAAAGCTTTAAAAATCATGTGACTATCCTATGGTTATTAGAAACGCCAAAACTTTTGACATGAATGTCAGGAAAATTCGGGATATAAAATTTTTTCCACACCACTGACTTGGATTAGTCAAAATTTAGATTAACTATAAATTGAAAAGAATGACATGTAACACAATATGTAACAGCAGACATTACGTAAGAATGTACGTGCTTATGCACCGGTACTGCACGTAGTTTCTAAAATAAATAAGATCATCAGTGTGATAGTGGACGTTTTAAGGTTTCATTTGCAATTGTTTGCATAAATTTTTGTAATTACTACTTCTAAGGTAACAAAATGATGCCTTATCGATAATGAATAATAAAGATTTTTTAAAATTTTAAATTACAATATTTTTTCCTAAATCTTTTTTTTTTTTTAGTGTATCAATCGGGTCACCCAGGTTATTTTTAATACTTAATCTCCTGATCATTATACAGTATAAAGATAATGGGGAATTGTTATTATTTTAATAACAATCAGCCAATCATATGAAAATCCTCTTATGAATCCATCCACGTGATATAACCAATCAAAAAGTGTATCTGGTACTGTATATGATAATAAAATTTAGTCTAATGCGTAAACGTATTGCAAAGTCTCAAACAGTAAATGTTTATAGAAAGGGTCTTTTTCTCCATTTATTCCTTCCTTCGCTCCCAAGGTAGTTCAAATGATGAATGTTGTGATCGTTGCAATGATGATTTTTGCTGTGAAATGATGTTTGAGGAATTTTGATATGACAGATGATTTTGACTACTGGTTGAACTACTTGCATATTGGTCAGTACGATCGGAAATGCTTAAAGGAGTCAACAAAGGTAACGATACTAACGATGTTGTAGAACGCGATGCTATTGGAGCCATGGGTCCCCCATTATAAGCTGAAGATTGTTGGGGAGATGTTACACTAGAAGGCGTCACTGATCCAGAATTTTCATCAGATGATTGCTCGTTAGAATATGATCGACGTGTATGATCATATTGAACGTATTCCATGTTTCGATTTCCATGAATCGGTGATATCGAAGTTGTCGTCAAAGAACGTGTAGGATGTGTTGAATCTTGAGACTGTAATGTTGTAGATTGTTGTATAGATTTTGTACTCGCAAGACTTGGTGAGTTAGAGGTAGCAATTTGACCATAATGTGGTAAACTTTCATGAGGTGGATACCTAGCATCATGTGAATATCGAGAATGATTATACATATCATGTCGTGATGAATATTCATGAGGACGACCAGGATGAGGGTAAAGATGAGCAAAGGCAGATGGCGGAGCACCGTATGTACGAGAAGAAGAGACACCGCTTGCAGCACGTTCAGCATTAGGTAGTTGGTGCTGTTCGGTAGATAAAAGATCTTGGATAGGAATTTTATTAGGACCAGATTGACTTGAAACAGGATCATTTTGAACGTAATCTTGTTTTGGTGGTGGAGGTGGATACGAATGATAATATTCAGGATATGAATACATTGAATGACGTGGTGGTGGTATAGGAAGTAAACCACTCCGATAAGGTGATGAAGATGATTCAGAATTATGATCTCTCGGAGATGGACGTTCATTATAATGAGACCATGGACGTGGAGGAGGATAAGAATTTGAAATGTCATATCCATAAGGTCTAGAAGTACTCGAAGATTCATTTGAAGAATGAGATATCCTTTGTGGTGTATCATAATATCCAGGTTGACTTGGATAAATTGGAGGCCTGCCATAAGTTGGTGGATGAGGATATGGATAACGATGATGATCCGCACTGTCTGGTAACGGTGGGGGGTAATAATAAGGATGATAACTATATCTTCTGTCATATATATCATAATAAGGAGGATAATGTGGATCACTCATATACTCTGGACGGTCATGCCACGGAATAGGTCTATGTGGAGGATAACCAGGTCCATACAAAGGAGCATTATGTTCATAAGGACCGATGTGAGGTAGATGATCATATGGACCTCGTAGATAAGATGAAGATGGACTTTTACTTGAATGGTCTTTTCGTCTTTCAGTTAAATCAGACGTTCTTTTAGAATGTATTTCATCTGTAGATTGAGTATGATCTGTTATCTCTAAATCAGAAGATTCATGGCTATCATTATCAAATCTGTTATCACGCGAACGTTTCATCCTATTTGAATCAGCACTCTCTATCGGTTCTAATTCTTTTCTTTTAGCTAACCGCCTTTTTTTATTATTATTTTTATTTGAAAGAAATAAAAAAGGACTATGAGATCCAGAAATTTTATAGATAAAATATGAAACAGGAAATAAAATAATAACCTTCGTATCCTAATTTCTTTTCTTATTCTGATTTTTAAACCTTGATCAGCAAAAGATCTTGATAGAAACGTAGATTCTATAAAAAAGATGTTAAGAAATTCACAACTTTTAGATTAACAACTTTTAGATAGATTAGATATTAACATTATACTAACCTTCCATTCCTGGAAATCTTTTAGCTGAATATACGATAAATACTTCGGAATATATTGATTTACAGTGATATACTTCACGTCTATAATAGGTATAAATTATAAATATAAATAGATATAAATAATTGCACAAAAAAAAATAAAGCAATTAAATTAATACATACTCGATTATTTCGAAGAGACTTAGTTTTAAACGATATGTTCCTTCCATACGTACAGATAAATCGGGAAATACGAAAAATCCAGCATCCGAATTATCAATATCTTTAAGATGATATAAAGAAGAAACAACAGAACCGGTTGTAGAACGTGTCTTGCCATCTCGGAGTAAGTGTAATTCTTCGTTTGTGTCAGGGGCCATTAAAGACGCATACATAAAAAAATAAGGATTCTGTAGGAATGAACTTTTGAAATGAACGATAAAAGTTATAAATTGACACGTGACAGATAACGTGACTAATAAAAATGAAATAGGGACGTACCTTTTTTCAGCTTGTGGCAGGGTAGGATCATGAACTCTTAACTGAATTATTGGAGGTGGATCTATTGGACGTCTATCAGCTAACATAAAAAAAAAGAAAAGAAAAAAAATTATGAATTTTGACATTTAAAAATAGAATATTGAAATAAAATAATATCGACGATTTTGGTCATGTGCAATCATGTGATCTTAAGTAAATTAAACATTGCATAAAATAAAATTATTATATAATAATATGATAACCGGAATCATAAATGATATACGGTCCTATTATTCGGAATCATCTGCAGATGTTGAGATCCTACACACTAATGAATGAAGTTACTGAATTCTGCTTAAGGCAATTCATGACGCGTAAGCCACTGATCATGACTAGAAACAGATACGATATGCTATAATTTAAAAATGGATGAATTCACGCGTCTTATTTGATTGTAGACCAGTGTTAATAAATTCAAGCATAAAATTTTCAAAGATTCTCAAAGATTTTCAAAGATTATCAGTCTTACTCGATAAACATACTACTGAAAGCGTAGTTGATAAAAATGGAGTATCCAATAATCACAATATTGAATGAACTATTCTACAAAAGTGAGAGTTGTCTATTATTACCTTTTTCACCGATACCACACATCCTTGATTGCTTTGGTTGTTGACGAAGAATTAATTCATATTGACTAATTTTATCAGAATCGGTTAAATAGAATCAATTGATAAAAAAGGAATTATTATCTCGTAACGCATATATAGCATTAAATATTTTGTGAAAAAACTTGCATAAAAAAATAAACAAAATAATATATATACATGTCCTGCCTATCTTCCCTACGTTGTCGCACCGGTGCAAATTGATAAGATACATTTTCATCCATCATTATGTCTGTTCGTATTTATAAATTCTTTAAATTCTTTAATAATTGTTATTCTACATTTTGTCAAGGAAAAAATCGAGCAAGTAAAAACAAAAGTGAGAAAGAGAGAAATAAAAATAAGGCATTTGTTTCGAGGGCAAGAATTATGTTTATGCTTACATATATTTTGCATTCATATAGTAACGGTCTATTGAATTAAATAATAACAAGAAAAATCAAAGTGAGGATAAGTAGAGGTCGGTTTATAATCAATATATATATATATATATATATCATATATATAATATATATATATATACATATCATATATATAATATATATATATATTATATTTACATAAAGAATATCCGGAAAAAAGACTATTCTAAATTTACAAACCCGGTAGAGTTGAAAAAAGCCGAAAGTGTATTGGCGTTGGTTTTTTTTTTTGGTTTTTTTTTTAATTTTTTTTTTATATATTTTTTTTTTTTAGTAGTAATCTTTTTTGTAACTTAAAAACAAATAATGGTATTGGAAGTGACAGAAAATGATGCCATATATATAGAAAATTTTGAATTATTATAGATAAGAGGGACGAGTTGAAGGGAATTATTATAACATATTTATGTAACAAGGTAAATGAATAAACCAGGGAACGGGAGCAAATCCGAAAAAAGATACGAATCATATGCGCACCACTAAATTTATTTTGGTTTGACGAAACCAAAGCAAATAGATATAAATATGATATATATATGATATATATATGAAAACGTTTTGACATTAAAATTTTGAGGGTTTAGGGTTTAATCTTTCAGAATATTAACTCTAATGCTAACACTGATTCTAAGTTAACACTAAACACATATTAACGCTAATACTTTCGGACTGATGACAGATAAATAGAGATCAGACCTTGAGCATAAAAGGATAGATGTCACATAAACTTCTAACCAAAAAATTACGCCCATTTTTTTTGGTCGAATCCAAGGTAAAAAAAATTTTCACATTTTTCAATTACGAAATGTTGTACGAATAGCCAAGCCCATAACTAGATACGGACTTGCATGCTTCTCATTACAAAACTTGTTAAAAGAAGGAAGTATTTGGAAAAGAAAAATATGAGCTGTAACAAAGAAATTGTCAACAAAAAAAAACCAAAGTTTAGTTTTCCCAGGAGCATGGAGATGGTTCTGATTAACACACACATTACATAATAATAAAATAAAAATTATAATAATGTAAATAAAAATTATAATAATGTAAATAAAAATCAGAATGACCTGACCTGATTGCCACGATAATAAACCAAATGGACAGGGATACTGTATTATAAATAATAATAAATATATATATAAACTCTAAAATATATATAAATATATATATATATATATATATATATATATACTGTATATATATATATATATATATATATATTAAAAAAAAAAAAAAATCTCAGATAAATAAAATCTAAAATATGTGAAATCTAAATATATAAACTTTAAATCTAAAATTTGAAGGACAATCCGAACGCCCAAAATCGAAACCCATATTATTAAAATCTTTATTTGTAGTTAAAGCTATGCAATAATCATACCAAATACCATATTTCACTTGATAAAAGTACCCGAAGTATAATTTAACGTAGCGTATGATTATATATATATGACGCACTTGTATCACTCAGTATTCTGTTGAGTTACCCAATAAGTGATATTCATCAAATTTCACAGATACCTTGTAATTGGCAATAAATGAATCAATGAAGGGAACCTCCCACAAAAAAAGAAAAGTACCTATTACCAGTAACAAGGATTGATAAGGTATATTCATCACATGATCCTAATTTGTATTCTGTGGGAAAAAGTCTCATGAATAAATTATTACGACATGAGGAAGCATCTACATATAGGATTGTGCAACATATTAAGTATTTTTTTTATTTGTGCATCAAATACCATTTTTAGTTGTGAAATCGATCAAAATAAATAAAAACGAATTAGTGGTTTTGGTTATTTAAAAGTTTTGCAAAAATATTCTCAATACGACTCCAAATACCTGTTCCCATGTGCGGTTCATGATTTTCGAGGCGTTCAATGTAATATTCCTGCAGATTCGTGGGTCGATCCATTTTTATTACATCCATCAATTGGAACCTAAATTCTTGTAGCTTGGAATCTGGGTAAGTCCTTCATTGGCGCATAAATATGTATCTTTAATGGTACAATCTTTGTCTAATTTCAGGTTAACTCGTGTGTAACTTCATTTTATGTTATTCTCTCAGATGAAAATCTTTTGTTTTGTGATCTAATGAATTGACCAATCTACTGATTTTCTTTTTTTTTTTTTTTTAATGTAAACGAATTTTACCATGAAATTTCCATTTTTCGGTTTCTTTGATTTGAAATTTTCCTGTGAGAAACAAGTTTGTTTTTCTCATGTAATAACTATACGTATTTTTAGTTTGAGTTTATGATTGGTACCATCTGCGCAAAACTTTTTTGGAAATGCAAGGAGGGCAGGTTCTAGAGCTGGACGCAACTTTCTTAAATATAGGTTACATGGGAGGAAAATTGTATCACAAAAAGAACATACAAACAAATAAAATAACTTCCGTAATTCCTACGTAGGTACGTACGTACCTACGTCCACTTATCTATTTACCTACTTTACATAATTATATATACTTATCTTTAAAATTATTCAATACCCGCTTTTCATCTCTGCTGACGTATCTTTCTTTCATTTAAATACTGTCTTTACTTTGTCCCAGAAAATTATTTGCTACCGTCTCTGTCACATTTTTATATTGATATTACCGCATAACATCAATAATGTACATGCACGACTATTCGATTTTAAAGTTACCCGAATATATATCTGAATATATGCATGTACGTTATATAAAAGCGATCAGTTGCTCATCATCCAAAATATTGGTATTAGTTTTATCTGTTTCTCGTTTATCAGCAAAATAAAGTTAAAATTTTCATTCAAAAATCATTTTGCTGTCACGTGAATCGTATTTCAGACAGACCAATAATCCCCGCGAGTGTAAATTATGCTTTTCCCCCTTAATCCTCAAAATCAAAAATTTTCAACTTTTTCGTTTTAGGTTGTAATAAACACAAATGTGGATGTAAAGACAACGAAACCGAAAGGCAGTAATTGTTTACGTAGCACCATATTCGAATTAAGAGATACCAATTATCTAATTTCACCGCGTAATTCATCAATTGTTACTTTACAACTGAGTACGACATGATAACATGATTTTATCTGACATACCAAATTTCATGGACTCTTTTTTCGCTAATCTCCTTATATTTCAATAAATAAAAATGCATTATTCATTGTTTAAAGATGTAATTTTTAGCGTCTCGACCCCTATATATGAGTTTATGATTTGTTATTCTCTTGGATCATAATGGTTAATAAATGCTAATTCGATTAGCTTTATTACCAATGCCTAATAGAAAATGCAAAGTTTATATGCACAAGATAATGTCTACTAAACACGCCAAGTTACTGATCCAATCATCTTTACCATTGATCTCTAATATTGTCAAACCCTATTTCCATTAAATTAAATTAAAATTTATATTAATATTACACCAAAGAACTCATAATTTTCCGTTCAATTATTTAGTGTAAAATGGATTCCCCCCTTTTTTTTATTTTATATAATCGGAAAAAACTATCCACGAGAGCTGTCACATGATAAAATTATATAATTCGTTACTATCACAAGTTAATTAGTTAATTAATGTTAACGACACAAGATAATTAATGTTAACGTTAAATTATTGACGATTATAGTTATATTTAAAAAAAATCTTTTGCACAACCAACCCTAAATTTACGACCTCTAATTGAACTCTAAAAAAATTCTCCCTAAATGAATGGTCCGATTTGGTCTATTAGCTATGTCTTAAAAATCGCAATTGGAGTGCGTTGATTGTACTTTATAATTAGAAAATACATGTATATATGTTGTAAATTAAACCAATATTGAAATTTCTTAGCTAAAATAGAGTTGGGGTATAATAAATTCTACCCTAAAATTCTAATCTAACTAAAGAATTCCGAGTCCATAATTCCGAGTCCATAATTCCGAGTCCATAATTCTCAACATATATATTAATTGAGATATGAACTTTACTTTTTTAGTGGTGATTAAAAGTAGTAATTAATAAACTAGTCGTTTTAGTATATAAAAAACTTTGTCGTGGTCTCCGGACACATACTCACGTGATTTATATTCACCAGTACCACGTGATTATGCATTTCAAAATATTTATTTATTTATTTTTTTTTTACAATCTTGCCAAAACTTTATTAGAATTGTATATTAAACTCACGGGTAAAATATAAATTAAGACAAGAATTACTTCCGGCTCACCTAAGTTACAAGTCTTGGCTTCTTGTGATACCGAAGTGCCAAGTCACTCATGTTTGATCTGCTAAAGTTTATCTCTATATCAAAAAAATATTCTTCATTACATCACTGAATGGTATTTATGGCCTATCAAAATTGTCATCTTTTTTAAACCTTCTTTCTCTAGCTTCCAAGTAGAAGAATTCATAGTATCCAACTGACTTATAAAAAAAAAAAACTATCACAAAAAAAGATAAAGAAAATGAAACAAAAGAAAAAAGAAAAAACCGTCTAAACATAGGTAAATATTCAACGGGTTGGGGTTTCTTGTAGGTTACGAAGAAAAAAACAAATAGAACAAGAAGAAAAAAGCAAAAAAAAAATAAACTATAAAAGTACTATTATAGCTTATGCCAAGTACAAGTTGTAAAAATTATATACTAAGTTTAAAAAATCTTATTACTAAAATTCAAAAATCATTATATATTTCTATTGTAAAGCTATACCTTATCCTTGATTTTCTTCCAACTAGTAGTATTCAGTTTGGTTATTTTGATATCCAGAGTACTGATTAATTTGTCACGTGGTGTAGAAATATCAATTGTCAAAACAAACTCATGTTTATATTCTAAGTTATCTGTTCTAA